AACATTAAAAGAAAATAATGTCAATACAATATCATGTGTATCGAATATCGTTGAAGGCTTCGGAAGACCTTGTATATTACAAAATTATATATTGACATGCACTTTATTCTAGCAAATCCTGAAAAAATTTGCTTAGTTTTAAAGATATTTGCTGGAATGGATATCATATTGAGACGATGTAAGAAAATAATACTGAATACCTTTGCATAACTTCTTTTGATCTAATCAAAAGCAGATAAAAGAAAAATTTTATGCACTCCTATCTGGCATGTATTGTACATTTATGAAAATTGTTGAATCAAATAATGTCACGAACTAGAAGGTCGTTGACCCAAAAAGTTTTATATTTTGGCATGATCGACTTGGATATCTAGTAGCTATAATAATAGGTCGAATAATAAACAATTCACATGAACACTCTTTAAAGAACTAGAAGATTCTTTTACCAAATGATTATCCAAGTGTAGCTTGCTCACAAGACAAATTAGTCATTAGACATTCAACTGCAAATGTCAATATTGAATCCCCAATTTCTTGAAAAAAAATTCATGGAGATATATGTGAGCCAATACACCCACCATGTGGATCATTTCATTATTTATGGTATTAATTAATTTTTCTACTAGATGGTCATAAATTTACCTATTTTACATTAGGAATGTAGCCTTTACTAGACTATTTGCTCAAATTATAAAATTACGAGCACAATTTCTCGATTACTCAATTAAAACTATTCGCCTTGAAAATGCTGGTGAATTTAGATCACAAGCATTCGATTATTATTGTATATCAATCGGGATTGTAATTGAACATTCGGTTGCGCATGTCCATACACAAAATGGTTTGACAAAGTCGTTTATTAAACGTTTAAAACCTATTGCTAGAGCATTGCTGATGAAAACAAAACTCCCAACTTCTATTTGGGGTCATGTCATATTACATGCTGCGTTATTGATTCGTATTAGACCAACTGTCTATTATCAATATTCACCTTTGCAACTGGCATTTGGTAATGAACCTGATATTTCTAACCTATGGATTTTTGTTTGTGCAGTCCAGTATCCTATTTCACCCTACAACATACTAAAATGGGTCTACAATGAAGACTTGAGATTTATGTGAATTTTGTTTCACCATCAATTTGTTTCACCATCAATTATTAGGTATCTTGAACCTTTTATTGGTGATTTATTTACTGCATGTTTTGCAGATTGTCATTTTGATTAAATGACTTTCCCAACTTTGGGAGGAGAAAAATTACATCTCAAAAAATAAGGTAAAATTTCTTGAAATGAAATAATTCTATCTCACTTTGATCCCTACAACAATCAATATGAGTAAGAGGTTGAAAAAATCATTAATTTACAAAAAAATTGCAAATCAATTACCTTATATATTTGTTGACACAAGAAAAGTGACAAAGTCATATATTCTATCAGAAAATATTCCAACTAAAATTGATATCTCTATAAGACAATTTGTTGTGGCAAATGAATCTCAAATAAACCAGAAGCGTGGTCGACCCGTTGATTTAACAGAGGTCGACCCGTTGATTTAACAGACTCTATACCTCGAAAAAGAAAGATGCATGTAATAAACCATCCAAAAACTTTCGAAGAAGTAACATTAGAAAAGATTGATCAATCAAATATTGAAAATATGGTTCCCGAAGAACCACAAATGTTAGAAAATAATAAGATTTCAATAAATTATATGATATCTCATAAATTATGGGAACGAAATAATATTGTTATAGACAATATTTTTGCCTTCAATATGGCTCTTGATATTATGCAAAATGATGATCTTGAACTACAGTTAGTTAAAGATTGTCAAAATATAAATGATTGGCCAACATAGAAAGAAGTCATACAGGTAGAATTGAATTCCTTAGAGAAACGAAAAAGTGCTTGGACCTGTAGTTCAAACACCTGAAAATCTAATCCCTATTGGATACAAATGGGTTTTTGTATGAAAGAGAAATGAAAATAATGAAATTACAAAGTACAAAACTCGACTAGTAGCTCAAGGTTTCTCAAACAGACTAGGAATTGATTATGAGAAAATATATTCTCCTGTAATGGATATTACCACTTTTAGATTCTTAATTAGTTTGACTATATCATAAAAACTTAATGTACGCCTTATGAATGTAGTAACTGCATATTTGTATGGTTCGCTTGATAGTGACATATATATGAAAGTCCATGAAGGACTAGGTACCAGAAACAAACGATACATGCCCAGAACTATGTTCTCAATTAAATTGTAAAGATTATTAAATGGATTAAAACAATCCGGATGAATGTGGTATAATCGTCTTAACGAATATTTATTGAATGAAGGTTATAAAAATGACGATATCTACCCTTGAGTTTTCATAAAGAAAATAAATAGTGAATTTGCAATTGTGGCAGTTTATGTTGATGATTTAAATTTAATTGGAACTCCTAAAGAGCTCAACAAAACTGTTGGTTATTTGAAAAATGAATTTGAGATGAAAAATTTGCGAAAAACCAAATTTTGTCTCGGATTGCAAATTGAACATTTCGCAGATGGATTATTTATTCATCAATCTACGTATACAGAAAAAGCTTTAAAACGTTTTTATATGGATAATGCACATCCATTGGCATCATCTTTGGTTGTTGGATCACTTAATGTGAAAAATGATCCATTTCATCCACTTAAAGATGGAAAAAATGTTTTTGGTCCTGAAGTACCATATCTTAGTGCAATTGGAGTATTAACTTATCTTGCAAATTACACTCGACCCCACATAGTTTTTTTTGTAAATCTCCTTGCAAGATATAACCTTACACCAACTAAAAGACATTGGAATGATGTTAAACATATATTTTTGTTACCTAAAGGGTACTATAGATTTGGAATTATTTTATTCTCAAAAGTTGGGATCTGCGTTAGTGAGATATGCAAATGCAGGTTATCTATCTGACCCACATAAAGCTAAATCACAAACAGGTTATATGTTTATACGTGGAGGAATGGCTATATCATGGAGATCTATGAAGCAATCCTTGACAACAACATTTTCAAATCATTCTGAAATTATTGTAATCTATGAAGCAGGCCGAGAATGTGTATGGTTGAGAAACATGACCAATCATATCCAAGCACCATGCAGAATAACTTCAACAAAGGATAGTACAACAATTTTGTATGAAGATAATGCAGCTTGTATTGCACAATTCAAAGTATGCTATATCACAGGTGAGAGGATAAAACATATTTCTCCAAAATTCTTTCATACACACGAGCTTCAAACGAATGGCAACATCGTTATCCAACAAATTCACTGACAATGTGGCCGATTTATTCATAAAAGTACTGCCAACATCTACATTTAATAAATTAGTTTATAAGATTGGAATGTGTCGATTCAAAGATTTTCAGTGATCAATATCATGAGAAGTAGTTGTACTATTTTTCCTTCGCTTAGGTTTTATCCCACTGGATTTTCCTAACAAGGTTTTAATGAGGCAATATTTAATTTTAGTACTCTAAAATAATTATACTCTTTTTCCTATTTTTTTGGTCTTATTGAATTTTTATCAAACAAGGTTTTAACGAGACAGATATTTTGTAATGTGTCATTTAAGAAGAGTGTTGTAAAAGATAGGTTTATTAGGGTTTAGATGTGAATGACAATTGTATCCCTGCAGCCCTAGAAATTATTACTATTGTATTCCTGATTCTGCCTTATAAATATAAGACTTTGGTTCTTAATAAAATACACACAAGTTTATTGACTTCTCTCCGCTCCCTTCTCCTTTCTTCACTTTTCGCAACAATTTTCTTGTTTTGAAGTCAAGCAAAAAGAATGCTCAATATTGCTAAAACTCAAGATGGAAATAAGTCCAACAAAAGGAATCTTAGTCCAAAAGTTTAGTCATGAAAACAACTTTCTCTGCTAGGAACAAAGCATTATTAATTATGGATGTTTATGATTTCGAGAATTACGTATTTGTTGAAAACTTAAAAAATGTGTATCAAGTTGTATGCCTATTTTATATATTTATTGATCTATTATACGTTAAATATATCGAGACGCTTAGCTCGACCAATCACATGAGTTGACTCGCGCTCGCTAATTACAATAGTCGAGCTTGAGTCGACTCGATTCAAGAAAATTGGGCTCGGGTGGCCCCATGGGATCATCTCTTGGTGGGGGTGAGTCAAGCAAGCTCAAAAGCTAGTAATTTTTTTAATCGAAAATTGTACCTTCAAAGGTTAGCGAGCAACGACTAGCTGGCTTGTACGAATTTTTGCTACTTGGCTCATGTTCATAACTAGCCTCGAGTAAGAGCCAAGTCAGCTCTACATATGAGTGGGTTGAACTATCAACCGATGAGATTTTCATTGCACTTCTTACCCCTACATCTAGACGAATAAGATTTAAGGCTTAATCCACGTCTTACCATACCTTACGCCTTTCAGAACCTTGAAAAATGATTCTTTGTCCTTTACTTCACTTTTCACCCCTACGACTACGCGAGTAAGACTTGATGTTTGACACACACGTTTTACTATATCTTACATCTTTTACAACCTTGAAAAATAGTTCCATTCATATATTTGACAAGGTACGGGGTGATAGTTGGGGTTGAGAGTTGCTAAGGTAGAACAACACATATCAAGAGGTCCGTGGTAGGAAAGATGACTATTATTTTCATTTTGTTTATTTTAGAAATTTTTATCTTATTTAGATTTAAGGACAAATTTATCTTTCCATTCTAGCTTAACAGTTTTTTAGACATCAATTCATATGGGCTACCTGCACCTGAACCTAGAAGTCCGGGTGAGAATGCTAATAATAAAAATTGGAGACTATGTATGCAATGTGGAACATAGAGCTTGTTTGGACTCGATTTTTTTACCCAAAAAATTAATTTTTTGACCGTTATTTTACTATTTCAATTGTCATATTTGACTTTTTCTCTCACAGATAAATTCCACTTTTCTTTGGTCAAAAAATCAATTCTAAAGGCAATATTGAAAGAGCGAACTTAAAGGGCAAAGGGGTTTAGGGTTTTTCTCAAAATCCAGATTCCAATAGGCAATAGCACAGGCGTTCGAGAGCTAGGGATAAGAAAAAGGTGGAATATGGATACATTCTCCTCGCCGTCTGTTGGATCTTCGCCAAAATTCTCGACTGAGGATTTGATGGGTCAGCTCAAAGTACAGCTTGCCCAGGCTTACGCTGAGGAATTCCTCGAGGTATAGATGTGTATTATACGTATATTTGCTATCACTAGATCTACATCTATGTCTGAAGAGTGAAGAGGTTTCAAATTGTAGCTGCTTTTTTATTAACATTGTGATTATGACGATGAGATGTCCCTTTTTGTTCTTCTAATTATAAGCCTCTGTGTTATTTTGGTCCTTCCGTTTGTTTATGTCTTTTGGAAGTAAAGTGTCATAAACAAAATATAAAGCAATGTCTATCACCAGATAGATTTGGGACATGCCTTGACTAATTTAAATATTTTCAAGGAGTATCAATCTTGTAGGACCAACTGAGATCGATTTGAATTTGATTCAGGAAATGAAATGAAGGGTTTGCATCTGGTCGTGGAATGAGGAGATCTTGTGGCTTTTAGGTCTAGTTTGTGCAGTTTTATTTGTTTTCTGGCTGGAGAAGGCGGATAAGTAAAAAGATGGGGTTAGGATTGAATAGAGAACAATATGGCTTCTTCGGGTTGAACATGGGTGTGACAACTCACAAATACCCTTGCAGAATAAGTCTTTCATATGTAGGCGGAATGAAGCTGGGGAGAGATTTCCAGGTCACATAGAGAAGATTCAAAGAGCTTGGACCTGAAATAGAGGGAATACAAGCATCTGGACATTGTTGAGAGTAGAGCAATTGAACTATTTTTGACGACAAAACTAAACTTGTGACTTTCTTTTATACCATCAATTGGCAGAACAAAAAAAATTGGAATAGAAAAGCTCTGTGTTTTTGTATAATTACACAAGTATAATCAAATGTGGATTGGGTTAGGATTAACCAGGCAGGCATATATTGGACTCTTTGTTTAGGGAAATGGGTTTTAACTGATGCAAAAGTATCATCAAAACTGTTACTTCCAGATATGACAAAATGGAATGCAACTAGAAGCCCCAAATGAAATCTAATTATATTGCTCCTTGTCTAATTAATCATTACAGGTGTTGCTGCTCCCTGGTGTCTCATTATGTACCAATAATGATCATCTCATAAATTAGACCAATCACCTTTCATATTCAACAAAAACCAAATTTCTTTTTCAATGGATTGTACAAGCTGAGAGCTTTAACAAAGTTGAGCAGAGCTATGATCACAAAAAGATCAATATTTTTACTTCTGTGTCAGCATGTTAAATCTGTGCACTTCCTTCAGCTGCTATCCAACAATTTACCAAAGTGAAACTCATTCCAGTTTGGGCTATCCATCAATTGTCTTGATCAGTAAAATTATACAATAGGCTGTTTCTTATTTTTAATTTTATTATTTATGATGAACTGCTTTCACATCTGGCATCCAAAGGGATGCAGAGATATATATTCTTTACAGAGTTGATGCAAATGGTTCTGGAATCATCATTTCTGTAAGGGCGGGTATTCTTTCTGTTTGTCCTCGAAGAACCATTTGTAAACATTATAGAGACGTGCAATTCATGTGCTTTCTACATTTGATTAATCATTGGTTTTTCTTCAATGTTTATGCAGACTGTGCGAGGAAAGTGCTTTGAGAAGTGCATCACCAAACCTGGCAGTAGCCTAAGTGGGAGTGAGAGCAGTTGTATCTCCAGGTGCGTGGATCGATATATTGAGGCCACTGGAATAATTGGCAGGGCCCTTTTCAATGCACAGCGCTGAAATAACTATTGAAGAACTTTACAGTCTTACGAATTCATGGATAACCAAGTATGAGTAGGCTTGGAATCACGATCCTTTTGATAAATTTTGACATTGCTTCTGGTAATAGATGAAGAACTATAAACTAAAGGTTGGACGCATAAACAATTTGCCTCTGTATGTTGGTTAATTTTGAAAATTTTCTATGGAGTAATCAATTTTTTATCCATAAATATGTTTTTTTTTTTTTTACTTGCTTGAGAATGGTTTAATTTCTGTGTGGCTGGACTCCCATCCCCTTCTCCACTCCAGGGTCTCTATTTGGACTATAGGTGTAAAAAAGGGTATACTTTAAGCCCTCGATCGGCAATCGTTCAACGGACTACTTTTGCGATATCTGTCACATAAAGAAGCTCAGCAAGCCTTGCAAGAAGATTTGGAAAGGAAGAAAAGTACTTGTCATACATTCATTTAGATGGCATTTTTAATGAGTCACAGCATATTAACTACAGCCTTCATTGTTAGTTCCTGCATTTAGTTTCTTTTTTCCAGCCCATCAATTCAGCGTAGAGTCCATCGCCATTCTGGGAATACACGTCTTTGAGACTGGCGGCTGATTATCTTGCTTCCAAGTGCATATCAACTTTCTTGTTAATACTAGTCGCTATCACGTGCGTTGCACAAATTTCGTATTTATCGTATTTTTATTAGTGTATGAATTTTAGTTTTTTTGAAAAGTTTTTGAAGCAATATTTAAAAATATTTTCATGATATAAGAAAATAATTGTAAATTATTTTTACAATTGCATAGCAGTATGTTATCTAGAAAAAATATGCTTGTATATTTCATCCTTGAATAAGAAATATACAAACTATTTTGCTTGTATTCTTTGATAGTGTTGATATGATTGAATTGAATATGAAGATTATATTTCTAAATTTTGTGTAATTCAATATTATAAAATAAAAAAAAAAAAACTCTCCGCACAATGCGGAGAGAGTTGAACTAAGTGCAGAGTAAAAATGAAAAATAAAAAAAGGTGCAGAGAAAAAAAAACCTCTCCACATAGTGCGGAGAGAGTTGAACCATGTGCAGAGTAAAAAAAAAACTCTCCGTACAGTGCGAAGAGATGACAAACCAACTCTCTGCACAGTACGGAGGGCAAAAAAAAAAACTCTCCGCACCATGGCAAAACTCTTCGCACAATGCAGAGAGAAAAAAACTCTCCGCACAGTGCGGAGAGAGTTGAACCGTGTGTGGAGTAAAAAAAAAAAGTGTGGAGAGAAAAAAACTCTCTGCACAGTGCGAAGAGAGTTAAACCATATTTGGAGAGTTGACAAACTCTTCGCATAATGCGGAGTAAAAAAAAAAACTCTCCGCATAGTGCGAAGAGATGACAAACCAGCTCACTGCAAAGTACAGAGAAAAAAACTCTCTGCACAGTGCGAAGAGTTGTTCTCAAATTCCTTAATTATAAGTCAAATTTCAAGATTGTAAATTTTTCGTATACACAACGAAATAGAGTCGAAAAATATGATTCAAAATTAATTATGTCTTCTTTAAATTTCAGTCACAGCTCAATTTTTGAGCATGCAAATCATATTTACGGTATTGAAAAGAAGCTTTCTCGTGATTCATACAATGAAACAATATATGAGTTGTGCAAAGAAGGGAATAGTGATAGTATCATGACATTGCTTTCACAAATGGAGGCTTCAGGATGCCACCCAAATTCAATATTTTACACTTGTTTGATAATAGCTCTTGGACATTAGGAGCGGATATAATTTTCAGTGAAATTATACTTTCGGGTTGTAGGTCAGGAATTAAAGTGTTCAATGCATTGCTCAAAAGTTGTTTGAGAAAAGACCTTTTGGAACTTGCAGATAAAGTCCCGAGAGTTTTTATTTTTTTCCTCACACTGTGTGGAGAGATAGCTTGCCATCTCTCAGCACTTTGCGAAGTCATTTTTTTTTTTGCTTATATGCGGAGATTTTTTTTCTCATGGAGATTATATATACTAAAATTATTATTATTTTTTTATGTTGTTGGCATGATGCGTGTGTGGAAGAATATTTGTCAATCACCATAAACAAAATTCTTCACAAAATGCAAAAAATAAAAATGCATAATAAATCTTCTTATTATGCTAATAAAATTACAATAATTTTTTTTTACAAATAACATAAAAAATTATTTTTATTTTCAACAAAAAAACACATTTAAAAATTAGCAATTTCATAACCACTTTTTTTTTTTAATTCTCGAAAATACAATTATAAAAAAGGAGATAAAATTGAATTACAACATTTAATATTTAAAAAATTCAATATTAAATAAATTTTATACATTTATAACAAATTATAAATTCATATATGCAGCTATTCGTATTTGCCGGCAGCTTACCGTAAACACAGTTTACTGTATATGCTACTTACTATATTTGCAACTTACCGTATTTGCACATTATCGTATATAATGTCTACCGTATTTGTAACTTATTGTATTTGTAGTCTACCGTATTTGCAAATAACTTACCGTATTTTCACCTTACCTTTTTTGCAGCTTACCGTATATGCTACCTACCGTATTTGCAGCCTATCGTGTTTGCAAACAATTTACCGTATTTGCTACCTACCGTATTTGCAACTTATTGTATATGCTGTTTACCGTATTTGTAGCTTATTATATTTTTATATATCGATTTTTGTACTTACAAATATCGAAAATGCAGAACACTGTACATTCACTTACCAAACGAATTTCAAAAAAAATTTCAGATTTTTATTTTTTCAACATAAGCATAAAATAAATATTAAATATATATGAAGGGCAAAATATAAATACATATGAATATGGTGCTCAATCTTCAATTTTTCAATATTGAATTACACAAAATTTAGAAATATAATTTTCACATTCAACTCAATTATATTAACACTATCAAAGAATACAAGCAAAATAATTTGTATAATCTTGTATATTTCTTATTCAAATATGAAATATACAAATATATTTTTTCAAAATGACACAATATTGTTATGCAATTGTAAAAATGATTTGCAATTATTTTCTTATATCATGGAAATATTTCTAGATATTGTTTTAAAAACTTTCCAAAAAACTAAAATTCATTCATTAATAATACGATAAATGTAAAATTCGTGCAACGCACGTGACAGTCATTGTGCGGGAAGTTTTTTTTTATTTCGCACTGTACGGAGAGTTTGCCAACTCTCCGCATTGTGCAAAGTTTTTTTTTTTAACTCTGCATTGTACGGAGAGTTCGCACTTTGTGAGGACAGTGTCCGCACAAAATGCCATCTCTTCGCACTGTGCAAAGATTTTTTTTTTTACTTCGCACTGTACGGAGAGTTTGCCAACTCTCTGCACATGATTTGCTATCTCTCCGCATTATGCTGAGAGTTTTTTTCTTCATTTTTCACTCCGCACATGGTTTGTCATCTCTCCGCACTGTGCGGAGAGTTTATTTTTATTTTTTTTTAAAGCTCATTTGCGAAAAGTTTTTTTTTTAAGCTCATCGTAGTTTATATTTATTAAAATTATTATTATTTTTTTAATGTTAGCGACATGATGTGTAGAAAAACATTTGTTTGACATAATTATTTTTTTAATGCTAGTGGGATGATTTGTGGAAGAATATTTGTTTGACATAAACAAAATAAAAAATGACATCATGCATAGTAAAATTGGATTCATTTACTATTGCATGAATAGTAAACCCTCCTTTCCTTTTTTATTAGAAGTTAGATAAAGCTTGCCATTCTTCAACTATTTTAGGTCCATAACTACGGTTAATTACCCCATACATCACTGAACTTTACCAAATGTTATCCAACAGGTCACTAAACTTCAAAAACTACCCGATTAGTCACTGAACTTTCGAAAATGCAACCCCATCCATCACCCAACTAACGTCTGTTAAAAAAACTGACGGGAGTGATGACGTGGCACGTTTTTGGAACTAAATCTGGAATTGAAAACACGATTTTAACACCCAAAAAAAAATCCCAAATTTGTCAAATAAAGCACCCAGACCGTCCTTACCCCTTCAATACCCCAAATTTGTTAAACTCAACTCCTCCCAAGCTGGAACCCTCTTCCCTGTCGCCGGTCGAAAATGAGAGGTGGTGGTCGCCCACGAACGTCGCCTTCCCCAGCCCATAGCCATCGGGCTCAGCCGCTTTTGTCGAAATCAGCAGGTCGATCGTTCGAAGACAACGCATTCCCAAATTTCAAGCCCTTTTTTCGGCGCCAGTGGTGGGACTCATGATCACGGACCACCACCACAGGCCAGTACTCATCATGATACATCTACTGATCATATGAGTCTTCCTTAATTTGGGGTTGAAATGGCAGTTAAGAAACGACGCAAGCATTCACCTGTCCGATCCCTTTCAGTTGGCAGACCTCTCAATTTCGTGAGCAAGTGTCGGTTAGTGAGTGCTATCCACTATTGGTATTGAACAAGTGGTTGCTAAATCTGTGAAGTCTACCTTATCGAAAAAAAAAACTGTGAAGTCTAGTGGTGGAAGTGCATGCCCTGGTGAGTGGTGAATCAACGGGTACTCCAAAACCTCATGTTGCTGGCGTATCTCATTCTTGGTGAATCAACGAGTACTCCATTTGAATTGAATGGAGGTGTATGATCATTCTTGGTATTGTAATGTGCAGTTTGTCAATTGTGGTATGGCTATGTTGTGTTATGTGGTGTAGAGAAGTGTTGGTTAGCTAGCTGAATGTGTTGTAGCTATGGTATGGCTATGTGGTGTCAAATGTTTGGAGAGCCAATGTTGGTGATGATATTGAATAATACAGTTTCCCCCCCCCCCTAGTGGTGTAAGCTGAATGCTTGTAATTTGTTTAATGTTAAGCTTTGTAAATGTTAGTTATAATTTGTTTAATGAATGATCAATTGCAAAATTACATGAAAGCTGTACCAAAAAGATTAAAGGAGACTAACAAAAATATTGCCATACATGACAAACAAACTGCGAATACATGCGGAAAGGTAGCTAATGGCCACTAGCAAAAGAATTTACACTGTCATTTTGTAGCTACTGGTTCTGCTTAATAGACAAAAAAGACAATATTGTTATAGCATACTAGCATCCTAGCATTGTGCAGTAACATTCCAGCAGCCCAAAATAACAAAGACAAAAATAGAACTGGCTTCACTTCTTGCATACATCTTCTTGATCCATCACATTATGTGGCAACACTAGCTTTTATCCTTAACCTTTTTCAACATTCAGTATCTGGGGGGTCAACCTGAGTAATGTATTTATGTAAGTGGACTTTCAAAGCAACCCAATGTCACCATAATAAATGCAAAAGTAGATGTACATTTGTTTACCTCATGTGCAGCTGTCCCGGTTTCTGTTGCGTCTTTCCCTTTATGGAACCATTTGTTATGCCCCTTCTCCCCACAAGTCGAGCATGTCATAAAAACAACACCCTTCTTCTTCAATGACACTCTCGTGATTGTGACTGCGATTGTGATTGTGATTGAGAGGGTTCATTCTCCTCAAGCCCCTTCCTTCTTTTTGTTTGTTTTCTGCCTTTTGTAGTAGTGTACCAAGGTGGAGGCAATACAGGGGGTTGGTCACTCTAAGGCCACAATACTTGTCCGTTCATAGGAGACATAACAGGTTCATAAATGGTGTTGTATGTTTCTACTGTAAACCATTCAGACACATAATCTTTTATCTCGTGTCCTTTGTCGAAGATGCAAGCAATTGCGTGTGGACATGGAATCCCAGATATGTCCCATCTTCGACAAGCACAAGTTCGATTCTCCATGTCGACTACATATTCGCCATCCGAACACTGTGCTTGATATTGATTTGCCCCATTCCAACTCAAGATGCATTCACGGGATGCATCAACATGCTTTTCCATAATCTTTTGGATTTTAGGGCATATTGATTTGTTGTAGTTTTTGAGTTTGTCTCGCTTCATTTGAATTCTATGCATCAACTTCGTTTGAATGCCTATCAACATTGCAAGTATCGATTTCTCTCTCTCTTCAAGAATAAATTTGTTGAAGCATTCACGGGGGTTGTTAAGCAGCATCTCGCACTTTGACTGATCCGAAAAGTGAGACTTACTCCACTCAGCTGGTGGTTTGGCATTCAACCATCCATATGCCACCAGGTTAACAGCTTCCATCTTCGCCATCCAGTACTTGAAAGATGCCAAATGGCTTGCTTTTGCAGCACCTCACAAACAGTCTTTTAAATGCTTTCCCTTGAAGTCCTTTCGGAAAAAAATTTGATACATATGCCGAACACAAAACCTATGTTCTGCTGTTGGAAATAAATCGGCAACAACATTCCTTAAACCCTTTTGTCTATCACTCATGAGGGTGACAGACGACCAGTTCTCCATAGAAAGGTCTTCAGACAACAACATTAGAAACCAACGCCAGGAACTAGTGTTCTCTTTCTGAATGACTGCATACGCAATTGGCTATATGCAATCATTGGCATCAATCCCAACTGCTGCAAGCAATTGCCCATCGTATTTTCCTTTTAGAAAACATCCATCAACACAAACAAAACGACGACAACCATGCAAAAATCCTCTCTACCTGAGAAACTATCACTGTTGAACCCGGATTTGTTCTTCTCAATTCAGCACCATAGCAGTGTAACAATGCAAATTGTTCTTCATCACTCCCTTCTACTAAAACCTTGGCATATTTTCTCGTATTCCAAGATACTACCTTGGTAATGTGCAAACCAAAATCGTTTCTCACGGTACTCCTGAAATGTTTGATCTTCCATTCCGGATCAGCTCTAAAGTCATCTAGATAGTACTCTACTAGCCATTTAAATGTTGCATTCTTATTCGTCCGAACTCTGAAACATGTGTGTTTGGGAACGTATGTTTTAATCTGAACCGTTTTTTCACCTTGGAGCTTAGACGCCCACAACCTCCAAGTGCATCCATCTTTACATACGCAATGAACCCGGTCTTTATCATTTCTCTTCAAAATAGGTTCAACCCCGTTGAACACCGCGTAATCCTTCAAAACAGATTTCAACTCCTCAAATGAAGAAAACAGCAATCCAACCTCAAGATGTGGATTCTTCTTCTTCCCATTTTCATTTTCAACATAATATTCAGGAAATTTTTGCCGACTACTGTTCTCATCCGACTCCGAATCACTTCTGATGTTTAACTCCTCTGAAGATACATGTGAAGAACTATCTGATTCGGGAGCTTGTCCATCCTCTATTGTAAGAGGCATATCCAGTTCGATACCTTTGGTCACGTTATGATCGAACAGTATGTCATCATCATCATACACATCGTTGTCCGAATCATTAAAGTCCGAGTCATTCAAGTCCGCATCATCATCGAAATGAACAACTACAGTTTCATTAAAAATAAATCTATGTAAAAAAAAAACCAAATTGTACACTAATGAACAAGTTATTCAACAGTAGCTTGAGAAATTTATTTCTAACCTGCTGATTGTTCTTCAATATTTGCCATAGTACAGGTTCAGGGGAGATGAGCTACTGGTCTGGGAAGACGACTACAGGTTCAAAAGGGGCTAGCACCGTTCTTAGACCAAAGGGTTGTGCAGGCGATTTTACGGCTTCTCCGATCGGCGATTTGGTTTTTGGTACTGTCAATTTTGGGCCGTGTGTGACGAACTACAGGTTGTCGGTGGCTATGGGCTAGGGAAGGCAATGTTTGTCAATGGCCACCGACTCTCATTTTCGGTTGGCGACGGGAAAGTGTTAATTCCAACTTGGCGGGAGTTGGTTTGAGGTTTTGGAGGGGTGAGGACGGTCTGGGCATTTTATTTGACAAATTTGGGTTCTTTATTATTATTATTATTATTATTATTATTATTATTATTATTATTATTATTATTATTATTATTATTATTATTATTATTATTTTGTTGTTAAAATCGTGTTTTAAATTCCAGATTTAGTCCCACAAACGTGCCATGTCATCACTCCTGTCAGTTTTTTTAACAGATATTAGTTGGGTGATGGATGGGGTTGCATTTTCGAAAGTTCAGTGACTAACCGGGTAGTTTTTGAAGTTTAGTGACTTGCTGGATAACATTCGGTAAAGTTTAGTGATGTATGGGGTAATTAACCCCCATAACTACAGAGTTAATTCAAGCAATGTTTGAAGCTTAAATTTATTCTTGCAGAAGCCCCTCACTGCTTCTCCCTGCCACCCCCCGGCCACCCCACCCCACGGGGGTTTGATAAGTGTGTTTTTGCACACTTATTTAGGTCACAAACATAACTTAATAATGAGCAAAATGATTGAATTATGACTTAATCTCGTTATATTTGTGAATTGTAGGGAACACCGATGAACATGGTGAAATTCAGAAGAAAAGAACCGAAAAAAGACTAAAATGGAGCAAAGTGATAGTTCGAGGACCAAGTTGCAAATAATTCATAGATGAGACAGGAAATGGAATGAAGATTCAAGAGTGTTAGAGGTTAATCGGATGAGGAAAGGAGTCAAGAGGTAAAATATGATCGAAGTATTATCAAGTATCAACTTTCAGGCGAAAAAGCTATGCTTGTAAATTTTAATCTCTACTTGAGATCCATTTTTGACAGAGTAAACATCAGAATTTGAGGAAGCCTATTTCTATCAAAAGTGTAGATCTTTGAGTTTTCTTGACAATGCACTTTGAATCACTTCAATCGGAGATTAGGAGAGAAAGTTATGACCAAAATACTAAAAGTTGTCCAGCGGAAAGAATGGTATAACTATGCGTCGCATAGAAGCCTCCCGAGAACTTTTTCTCAAAATTTTTTTACTCTATGCGACAGCATAGAAATGTACTATGCGGTCGCATAGAACAAGATTCGGGGCCAATTCAGCAGTTTCCTTATTTCGCCGAAACTCTTATGGAAAGGAGATTTTTAGGGTTCTATATAAACTAAAACTCGACCAGAATGAGGGGACGCCACTTTTACAGAATTGGAGGGGATTATACACAATTTTGGAGGATTTGGAGAGGAAGAACAAGGCAAAAACAAGGCAATCCACTTCAAAATTCAAGATTTCACTTCAAGAATCAATTGGGTGATGTTCTTTCTTGGTTTTAATTATTACTTTTCTTTATTTCCCATTATGTTAGGCTAGATTTTCATGTGCTAGGATTTGCGATGAACCTTACATTATGAACTCTTAATCTTGAATTTTATTTATTTGACGTTAAAACATGTTTTTAATTATTGAATGATTGGCATGGATTTTATTTTCTCTACAATTATGTGCACAATAGTTGTATGAGATTTGTGGCTTGTTTTGCCCTCGAGAGATGGAAAATGAGTTAGACATTATGTTAATTGTCGTAAAGTTCGATAAGGAATAGAAATATACCGCTATGCTTTATGTGATCTTTAAGTATTCATAAATCTTTAATGCATTTTTATATGTTCGCATCCGTCATAGAAATATAGTCGGATCGCATGTGAAAATAGGTTTAATTCTACTCGAGAGAGATTGTTAAACAAATTAGGAATATTGGTCTTCATAATTGAATCGTGTTGTCAATTTTATAAAATTCGGATTAAAGAGGATTGATATAAGGGGATTCGGGATCCTAGTACGCATTTCATTATCATATTTTTATAAAACTTGCATTTAGTTATAATCACACATTTAATTTAGTTAATTTAGACTTTATATTTATAAGTAGGTTATTAAATCATAATTTAGTTAGCGAAAATATCAAGAATTTCTATTGTTTCGATTAAGGCGACGATAGGTAAAATTGAACTAATCAATCTATGTGGGACGGTATTCGGACTCATTTAATCCACTTTATTACTTGTTAACGAACCGTACACTTGCGGTAGTTTAAAATCGAAAGGAATAATTTCGCGAACACCCACCTCACCGGTTTCACTCAAACTCCTATCAGTTTCAGTGCCCTGGCACCATCTCCTTCCTGTGCTCCCTTCTCCCTCTCGCCCAGTTATTCCATTACCCTTGTCTGTTGCATTACTGGGGACTTCCCTATTAGCCGCTCCTACTGGGGAACTCTTGAGGTCCTTAGTAAGAAGCGGAGGGGTGGGGGGGAGGAGGTTGAAGATTTGTGTAAAAGAAGACTGTTTCCGAAAACTTTGTCAAAAGACTCAAAAGCATGAGAAGAATTGAAATTGACAATACCCCATTAGTTGTAACTCAAAAATTACAATAAAATCCAAACTCACGAAAAGAATAGAATAGAATCAACGTGAAAAAAAAAAAAACAAAAACAAATGTCAACCAGAATAAGATAAATTTCGCAAAACAAGAATAGAAAATTAATTTTTTCCCCCTACAGTCTCTGTTAATACTCTGTCTGGAAAAGAAACCAAATGCGTCTAGAAACTTCAAATCTTCCTTTAGCTAGGTATATCCCCAACATTGAATTACATCGTGCATTTCATCTACTTCCTCAAGGTATGCAAGATGTACTCAGCATAAAGATTCCTGCAAAATTAATGGGAAAAAAAAAAATCAATAAGAAACATTTTAGAAGATGAAAATTGTGACATAAGCCACTTCGGATTGGATAAGTGAATATCCGTAAGCTAGACTGTCCAATAATAAAAAATGAAGCTTACATGGAGTATTGGATAGCTTCTGTAGCAGTAGATGAAGGTAGAAACTCATTCACTGCTACCTCCTTGTTCTCATTCTTCTTGTCTAAAATTGTGTCAAGGAAAACGTTCTGTTTTTTATTGTTACATGCTAATAACCTATGATACCTAAAGAAGACTCAAAAACTCGAGCAATATCTTGAACCAAAAAAGTAGAAGGATACAATCTTCAAAGAAACGGCGGATTTCTTGAAGACGGTGAGGTGGAAGCTGGCTGATATCAGTATAGTGGCGAACCTCAGGATCGTCTGCACATACTGCAATGATCTTGTCATCTTTCTCTCCCTAATTTGAAACAAAAACTTGATATCATCAATCTTGAACCAATGCAAGAAATGATTTAGCTGCACTCTTGGATGGAGCAGTCGAACCTGATCAATCATAGGCATTAATCCTATGGCCCTGGCGCGAAGAAAACAGCCAGGTACAACAGGCTCCTGTTTAAGAAATCAATTTCAATTTAATCAATATCGCTTATTAATACTGATGAATCTACTGGGAGTCTGGGAGGATATGTTTATCTTTCTCTGTTTCTGGAATTGTATGATCGTTAACAGCTCAACTAATGATAACTTAAGATATTGACCAACCTGCATAAGAACTAATACATCCATTGGGTCATTGTCTTCGCATAGTGTTCGGGGAATGAAACCATAATTGTGGGGATACACCACTGAAGAATACAATACACGATCAACCTGAAATTCAAGCAGTGACAATTAACCAAAAAAATTTTAAGAGTGACTCTTGATTTGCTTACACAGTTGAATACAGAAATATACTGTAACATAAGATTAGGTAATCCCATGATATGTACCTTGATCAGACCAGTTTTCTTGTCAAGTTCATATTTCACTTTACTCCCTTTTGGTATCTCGATCACCTGAAGGAGTACAGTAACATTGATAAGGAGTCACTGATAGTAGTTCCATTATCAATTTATAGAAAATTACAATATGATTAAGAAAAAGGAGAAACAGAAAGATCACATACAACATTTATGATTTCAGGTGCATCAGGTCCTGCATGAATACAAAGAAAGTATCAGAATCTAATATTATTTGAAAGAGGGATAACTAACATTACGATTGTTACCAATCTCAAGGTCATGCCAAGGATGAGCAGCCACTGATCTCCTTGACAAAGATGAGAGGATCCTCTCATTTAAGCGCGGAGCTTGTCTACGGGGTAAGGCTTCAGCTCCATTCCCATTTGTCTCGCTGGCCATTTTACTGAATAAAAAGGAAATGTCAGGCTTTAAGGATTCGACGAGTTCTTTGTTAAAGATATGTTTCTGGACGATAATTGCGCTTGTGTTTTGATTAAGGTCTGTGAAGTTGGAAAGATCAATTTGTAATCCCACCCTTTTCTTGAATTGAAATTACTTGTATTTACAATTGTGTAAACAAAGAATCGTTGATGCAGATCAGATCAGAAATGATTTCATATAATTATAAGCATGGATTTCTAACATAGGGAGGGATGTTTCGATAGATTATAAATCAAGAAAATGTCAGCATACAATCAAAGAATAGATTCAA